TTTTTTTGATTCCTCAAGTGAAAGATGAGCTCACCCACACATCTAGAAGATTACTAGTATTAAAAAGAGCTCTTCAAATTATGATTTTACAGTTGTCATCCGTGTTTGGCCTTGGATTTGTTTAGTTTGCCTGCTGGGTAACAGTGCAGTTTTAATGATAAAAGAGAAGAGTATGGCATTGGTCCTAGTCTTAGTCTGAGTATCAGAATCTGCATCATTCAGTGTTTTACATACAGTACCATGACTTCCCTAATTTTCTGTCACGTTATAGCATTGGCAAAAAGGTACACAATTTAAACTTCCCTTGTTCACAGTTCCCTTGTTCTCCATTAATTTTCTCCTAAAACTTATTGCTTTTATGGACTGCTCAGGCAGAAATTATAATTTCTTCTACAACCTATAAGGCTTGTTTACAGGGGAAAGTGTAACAAGGGATGGCAAGAGATTGTGTCACTAAATTCAGCTGAACTGCTGCAGAAAACGAACTGCAGTCATAAGAGTTTGATGGTACTGATACCTTTCTTTTGTTTGTGGCCTGTATAAAGAACTTAAGAAGTCTTTCCTAAAATTCTTAAATATAATCTACCCTAAAACTGAGCATTTTCATAATATGAAAGACAGCAAATGTCTTTGTCCTTGTCATGTGCAGTTTGCATGCTTGCAAATTAATTTCTGAATAAGCAGTGACTAAAGTATAGTTTAATAAAAATGCATAAAAAACACAAGATTGTAACAAACTAAAAATAATAATAATTTAATACAGATTTGTAGCTGGTTTTCCATCTGAGTTTGTTCAGAGCTGTTTTGGTATACCTGCTTTGCCTCATACTTTGTGAAATATGAGACTGCATGAGAGTGGCTGAGAATTTTGGTGACTTGTTAGCAGTGCCAGGCTGTTATGATGAGGAATCAAAAGGGATTAACATCACAGCCCATGTCACTACAAGAGCTTCAGCAAATATATATTGTCTTAAAAATTAACATTTCATTTTGAACAATTTAAGAGGAAATAGGTTTTGTAGTTTGCAAGTGGATATTCCCTGCAGTAGTTTTCAGGAAAAACACCGTTTGTTTTCTCTGTACAATTTTTAGAAACTATCAGTTACTGATGCCAAATGCATGCTCCTTTTGTCTCCTGCACTAGCTGACTGTGTGCTGCTGAAAGCCGTTCAATCAGATTTAGTTTTGCATAAATTTCTAGAAGGTGAATTAGTTAATCTGGTTGAAATTCGGGAAATTGCTTTGAGTTTGTTAAACATTTTGGTTTTAATTACACTGAAATTGACTGCGTTTCTGAATGCTTTTGTAGTTTGAACAGAATTTGCTAAATATTGCAGTGAGTAGTAGAGACTAAAGCTATAAATGTAGTTATTCTCAGAATATCACATCTGTGTATTTCACTGATAGCAAACTGTTTTTATCTTAGTGTTTTGTTCACAGGCTTATTGCTCACAGTTTACATCCACCAGTTCATTGGTGCAATAATTATTTAATGCTAGGTGAGAAATTTACTTTTAACAATTTTGCAAAGTGAGCTCTTAGTTTTATAAGAGCTTTCTGTCATATTATTTTACTAGAGTATAAAGCCAAATGAGATTTATAGAGGGGAAAATTATTTTCTTATCCTCAATGGGAAAAACAATTCTGTAGTTTTCACCTCTTACTGTTTTTCAGAATGTTGCAAAACCTGCTTGATAATATAATCTAAAATAGGTGATGCCAAGATTAAAAAGGGAAAATTATTAGAAACACAGCTTCATAATTTTGAAATAGATTTTATAAATATGTTCACATCTACAAATACCTAGTGATGTGGATTTACTAAAGAGGAATATATTTTCTGGGTTATTATTTTGGTATAAATTAACATATATTTTGTGCCTATGTCTCCCCATTATAACTACCACTGTTACTATTATGAGGGTGGAATAGTACTCTATGGAACAGAGAAATTTTCAGTAATCGAAGCAGCAAATAAAGAATTTTGCTTAGGCAGGAATATTAAATACTTGGAGCAATCTGCAGATAATCAGAAAATTTGAGATAATCTGCATGTGAATGAGAGAAACAAGAAAAGGTTTTGAGGTGTGCTAAATTAATAAGGTGTCCATAGCACGTGTTTCGGGATGTAAGTAGTGCAGTATTAAAAAACATTGATGTGTGCTATCCAAGCAGTATCTTTGTAGCTGAATTACTTTGACTCGTGATATCTGGAGAGTGATGTGGGCAGAAAGTGGCAGATATTTGAAAACAAAACAGGGAAGTTGTATTATAGCCCACCTGTTTGGAGTAAAAGAAGGAAGGAAGACCTTCAAGACGAAGTACTTTCTTAATACACAGTGGGTTAGCAACATATAGCTTCATTCTCACAAGCTCAAAAGAACAGTTACAATTCTAAAAATTAGTGTTTCTCTGGTTTGTGGGCTTTAACATAATTTTGTGGTGATAATGAAAATGAAATTCCTCTTTAAAAATTTGCTTTAATACGTTTTAAAGATAGGTAGCTTGCATACATTTTTTTAGATTGAGAGTTGCTTCTTTTAGCCCTGTGTGTGTTGGTTTCACACAGCACATCCTGGAATAATTTTTAGTTACTAATTTATTGAAGTAAATATGAGCATAAATAGTCTACAAGTAGTCAGGCTTAAGTAGGATTTAATTCCACGTTTGGAGCAATTTTTCAGTTTTTGTCAATCTCTGTTTTTCCCTCACCTGACTGATTTGACCTGGATAATATTTTTCAATTACTCTTACTGTTCTCTCCCTCATATCTGGGATACATCCCTAATCATCCTGGGAACTGATAAGCTATATGATGTTTTCCCTTTAAGGAAGTTACATACCTTTTTATTTTAGTTTCCTTTATATCAATGCTTATGTTAAATACCATGAAAAAAAAATAATTAAAATATTTAATTAAATCTAAAGAACAAATAGTTTTTTTCTGTTGATTTCATGATGTCAGAAAAAAGAACCAAATCAGTTCAATTTTGTAACTGGTACAGGGTTAGTATAATCTGGCCTATGGACCATCTTTACTGGTCCTGCTGATATTTTTCACTTAGGCTAGATATTGTAGGAGGTAATGACTCTGAAAGATTAATTTTGGCCAGCTCAAGTTGAAAAATAGGAGTATTTCTTTTCATACTTGATATTTTGTAGATTTCAAAAATGAAAAGCCAGTTATATATGGCCAGAAAAATTTTTTTGAAAACTTTGGAAATGTAAGTCTCTTTTGACAGAGATATTGGATATTTTACTTCCTTTGCTCATCTGCTTCATGCATTTCAGCTTGGATTATGGTAGGCAAGTTATTTGGGAGATGTGTCACCCTGTACATGAACTCATGCTTCCTGTGTGAGATCATTGTTGCCAAACTGACTTGCTTCTTCTGCTATTGCGTCTCTGCCTTGGCTGTGGCTACTGCTGGACTTTGTTACCTTCATTTTGCGGAGCAGAAGGTCTTACAGTATAAATAGTGATTTTATAGTTACATTGCTATTATAAGTCTAATCTCTAATGTGCTGTCTCATTTTGTTGTTTTCCCTTTCCCCCTTTGATAATGTGATGGGGCCTTGCAGGTATTTAGTCCCTATAATGGATAAACTGCAGATGTAATCTCCGGTACTTAAGCAAGGGGGATATTTATAGCACACATGTTTTCACTCAGTGCTTATCTGCACAAGGGACACTGCAGGAAACGAAAGCTGTGGACAAAAGGTGTGGCTGTCAGGATACACATAGTCCTCTGTGGATAAAATGACGTTTAAAAAAGTGGCCTAAAGTGAGACTTAACAAAGTGCGTGGATCAAGTCTGAAATAAAACAAATATCAGTTTAGTACCACGTAGTGCAGTTCTCATCCCTAAGTCCTACTGAGTTTCACTGGGATTGCTGGCAGCATGTGCCTTGCCAGAGTGCAGGAGGCACCACCAGTTCTCTGTCTGCTGGGTGCTGAAGCGTGTATGTGTTTATGTGTGTGATGGCAGCAGTTTGGCTTTGCAGGCAAGGAGAGAAAAATGTAAGTGTTGCTACTGATTTAATAAAAACATTTCAGAGTCCTCCTGAAAGATAAAGGATTTACAGATAATGCAATAGTGCTATTAACAAATAGATCAGCTTTCTTTTAAAAGTTACACCTAACTTAGGTAAAACTCTTTTGAGCTCTCCTAGTTAAAAACAGTAGTTTAAAAAAAAAAAAAAAAGACAAATCAACAGCAGTTACAAAGTAAGATAGTTTTTAATTTTCTAGAAACAAATCATTGAGATTTCCTTTCCAACAATACTTTTGAAGCACAGATAAAATGGCTTCCTGTCCCAGGGTTTCCTGTATCCATGGCAACCTGACTTTAACCACTTCTTTCTTAGTTTCCTGAGCAAATAGTTGCAAATCCTGGGGCAAAGTGTGAGTGTTCTAGTGCACAGCAGTACTGCCTTTACAAAGGTTTCACAGATTAATATAGCTGGCCAGCTTGTAATGATCTAATGAACTGCAAATGGCAACATAACAGAAATAATGAACTTCAGAATTGGGGTAAGGAATTCTTTTACTTATTTTTAATGTAAATGGAAGTAGAAGTCAAATTTTAAATGAGCCACAAAGAAAGGAAAACTGTTTCCAGTTGGCATTTCTGCTTGAATGATATTGAAGCATTTCATAGTTATTCTTAACTATAAAAAATCGTTAATAAACAGTTTTTTTAATTTACTAGGAGCTGCCATTTTGGCAGCTTAGTTGCTTTTATGCTGCAACCAATTAAATATTTACTGGCTAGGTTGACAACACATCTGTTTCATTGTTCATTTACTTTGAAAATTTATTCAGTGTAGCTCAAACTTACAGTTTTATTTTTAAACGGCTCATTTCACATCAGAGGAGAATATAAAATACCAATCTTGAAAGTAATGCCTGTATTTTAAGAACTGTACACAATTAATCTTTAAACTTTCAAATTAATAATATTTATAAACTTCTTTTTATCTCTACTAGCAAAGTCAGAGATGAGTGAGAAGGCCAAACACAGGGATATGTGTGGTCTGCAAAGTTCTCCACCCTACCTGGGACCATTCCTTTTTATCCTTAATTGTTTTCTTTTGTTACTGCTCCAGAAGGAGGCTCTTGGCTGTCCGGCTGCTTGTCAACTCTGCACAGGTAGACAAGTTAGCTGTCGTAATTTAGGACTTCCAAGCATCCCGTGGAACTTCCCAAAAACAACAATTCTTGTGTACCTCAGTGGGAATAATATTTCTCATGTCGCTCCAAATGAACTAAGAGGCCTTCAGGAGCTTGCTGCACTCTACATGGATAACTCCAGTATTTCATATGTACACCCGAAAGCTTTTGTGCAACTCCCCAGACTGTACTACTTGCATCTAAATAGCAATAATATTAAACGCCTGGATCCAGGAATCTTTGAAGGTCTTTCCAATCTTCATTGTTTATACCTTCAGAATAATAAAATAGCTTTTGTTCCCAGAGGATTATTTAGTGATCTCCTTTCCGTTAGATATTTAACACTTCAAGGCAATCGTCTCAGTATCCTTGGCAGTGGGACTTTCTTGGGAATGATAAGTCTCCAAACACTTAACCTAGCCAATAATAAGATTTCACGGATATCAGATTCAGCATTTCATCATCTTGAAAACCTTGCATGTTTGTACCTTGAAGGTAACAATTTAACACTTGTGCCATCAAATGCTATTGGAGGGCTCAAAAATCTTGAACGACTTTCTTTGTCTCACAATCCCATTGGATCAATACATCCTTTTGCATTTAAAGGACTTAACAAGCTTAGATATCTGTCTCTAAAAAATGTGAACCTAAAATTTATTGCTGTAAATGGATTTTTTGGATTAAAGAACCTTAGCCAGTTAATCCTAAGTTACAATGATTTAGAAAACATCAATTCCAGCACTTTTACTTTATTGAACAATTTAAAGTATCTGCAGCTGGACAGAAATAAAATAAACAGTATTGGAGATGGTACCTTTGAAAAAATGGCACAGTCACTTAAAGTACTCAGTTTAGCATTTAATAATATTACAGAGTTACAACCTGAAATACTCAAGCCCTTAGTGTCTTTGACTCATCTACAGGTAAATTATAATCCTTGGAATTGCAGCTGCAAAATGCTTGGGTTGCTTAATTGGCTAGCATCATCTCGTATTTCTGTAAAAGTTCACTGTCAGAATCCCCAGAGTATGCGTGGCAGACCTTTGCATTACATTAAGTGGACTCAGTTGTCAAACTGCAGTAGCCCTACTGCCAGCCCAGAAACAACCTGGAGTACAGGATCTGTGGGTGTCCACCAGAGTGCTACCACTTTGCTGATGGCATGGCACAAGGGACACAGGCACAGTGCGTTTGAACAGCCTGTCCATGCAGAAACTCAGTATGTCACTTTCTGGGAAGGAGCTACAACTGCATCTGCTAACCTGTTGCCCTTTGAAGAAAATGCAGGGGAAATTCCAACACAGGCAACTACAGCATTAACATCACCAGTGCAAATTCCAGCACAGATTATACCTGTTAACAGAACTGTAGAAGAAAAAGGTTTGTTTCCGACAGAAACTGTATCATTAAAAACATCCCTACTTTGTACACAACAGGTTGAAAAGCTGACTCAGGCATTTGACATTTTGTTAGCCTTTTTCATTCTGGCTTGTGCTGTGATCCTGTTCTTAACCTGTAAAGTTATTCAGTTTAGGCAGAAACTAAAGGTTTTGGAAAACTCAGGGGAAAAGAGAATAGAATATTATGGTTTTTATCAGCCTGGCAGATACAACATAACTGGCCCAGTGCAGTCCCTGACACAGAATTCTGTGGGGCATTCGGAACTGGACCAAATTAGGCTGCTCAAACGAACAGCATCTGAAAGTCAGGCACAAGTCATATTGTTTGAACACTCATCATTGTAGTTCATCTCCTTTTGATGTTAACTTTATTATGATCGAAAACGTAAAGAAATCAAGAACTCAGTTTTCTAAAGATACATTCACTGATTAAAATCAACTGGTTGATAAAATTGTAGAAGATACTATAATTTGGTTTCTGCATCATCATCTGCTTCTTGAAAGTTTTGAAATTTATTGGATTTTTTAGATGTTATTTAAATCTGACATGGATAACAATATATTATCCTCCATCCCTGTTGTAGGAATCTTTCACACATGTATTTATTTTCCAGTATTTAATGGTAAAATTTTCTATAGAAATTCCATAGCTAGCTTGAAACAAGCAAAACTTCAATGTTTAGAAGCATCATGAAGCCAAGAATTTTGGGGAAATGAGAAAAAAAAGGAATACTTCATTTATTTATTGTCATGCAGTTTCTACTCTGCCTCTATTAATCATCACAGTGGAAAAAAAATGACCATATTTACATCTAGCATGTTCAAACTCTTGAGAAGAGAAATTTGAATTTATACATATTTTATTTACATCTATGTCATATTTTAATGTACAAAGTTGTATATTCACCCTGTATAATGAATATATTAAAGTGAATTTTTTGTTAGTGTGTATCTGCATCATCTTATGATCGTACCTGACCCTGTAGTTAATAGGGAAAATAATTCTATTCGATTGAAAAATTGACCAAGTTTATTATGTCTAATGTAAGAGAGCTAGTTAATTATTGTCAACAAAAGGTATTTTGTGATCTATATAGTAATAGTTTGGGGGAGTTTTTTACTAGATAAGTGGTATAAGTAGAGAAATATACTACACTGGAAATACATCATTCTAGATTGATTTCTGAACATACTTATATATTTGTGATGTATACTTGGAGGTGACAGGTCAAATTACATTTCCTTAGGGAAGACCTAATTTTGGTATTCTTCAAAAGATGGATTTTATTTTACTGTATAGTTTGCTTTTTTATGTTTTTATTTCCATTTTGAGTATTGATGTTCTGTTTCCATTATTGTCAGGTTACGTCTGGTGCGTCGTAGCTTTATTTTTAATGTGTATTTCTGTGTTAAACACTTTAAAATTTATTCAGGAAAAAGTCATCTAGATATGTTCCAACTAGTCAAATCTTGTAAAATTTTCAGCTACCTGAATGGGACTTACTTTTCTAGATACTATTTATCTTCTGAAGGCCTGGGTCCTAGACACTTGAACCACTTGGTTAATAAGCAACATGATTTATAGTTATATTGTTTTGCTCAAGGAGAAACTGAGAAATTATTTTGGTTGTCTGTCCTCCATGGGGTTGATCTAGGTTTTGTAGAAGTATCTTGCTGTTTCAGCATCCAGCGTGGAGACTGGGTCATTCTCCAGATAACCAGAACTGCCCTCAAGGTTCTTGTTCTAGTCTGCCTGCCTTCTGCTGGTATCTGTGGCTGTGTTGTGCTGCTCCCTATTCTGCTGGTCTGTCTCCAGTTTGTTTCCAGGAGTGACACCTCCTACCATTACACATACAGACCTTGACTGCCCTGTGTGAACGTGCAAGTGTGCCTCTGTTCTTGCTTGGTGTGTGTCTCTACTGAATGTAATTAATTATCCATTTACTTTATCGTAATACTGTATTTTACTGTAATTTCCTGTGTACTAGATCACATACTTTTATTTTGTGGAACTCTTATTTCAGCTGCTTGGGCAAAAGCTTTAACTGTCTTGGATTACTTGATTAAACATTTTAAAAAGAATTTTCTACTTGTAGATCTACTATTAAATGTAATAGGTAAATTATTTTAAGGAAGGAAAACATTTACTCTAATTCATGCCTAACTTTTTTGGGGGGGTGACTAATCTATTATGATGTCTTTCTCTTTAACCCATTTTTGTTACTTTCTGTCTCTCCTATATAATTCCTTGTGATAAGTGTTAAATTTATTTTCATTTAGTAATGAAAACATTAGTAGGTTCTGCAGTTTTAGTGTTGAATTTCTAAATTTTCCATTTTATGTCCATGTCTTCAGAAATAATGGACTTCATCTTCAGTGGAAGCTAAGTTAACTTAAACTTTCATTGCTTGCAATGCTGGTGTGCCTTTGTTAGTGAGTAGTTCTGGGATGGAACAAAGGTTGAGACTGAACAAACCTAGTTCTCTTAAGAAATCTTGACAGGCAACAGCTTTGTTGTTTTAGACTGGTTTCTACCACTGCTCTCTACGGAAGAGCACAAGAGGTTCCTTCTGAAGGTGTGTACTTTCCACTGACAAGCTGCTGTAGGAGTTGTTTGCCAGGTATGAGTCTCACCATGCAAAGTGATGCTGTCGTATTGGTTTGTGTAAGCAAAGATTGGACCAGTGGGAAGCCATCCTTTGGTCTGGAGTCATCCTTTAATATCCAGCTTGCCAACAATTTGGATAAGACTAACTAGGAATTGAGAGATTAATTATACAGTTATGGGGAAAATGCCTTTTGCTGTTGGAAGCTTTAGTAGCTTTAAATGTTCACACAAGGGAATAGATCCTTTCATGTGTAGGTGTGGTTCATGTGTAGAACTATTAAGATCATTAGATAATACATTCAAAGACTTACTTGAGTCTGCCTTCATGAAGCAAAATGATGCTTTATCGTCATCAAGTTTATGGTCAGCCACAGGACTGCTTTGGAAATGTCTTAGCTGCTACAATCCTGTTACAGGAACTGTGCAGCTTCTAAGGTTGGGAGTGTGTGTTTTTAAAAAGGTATGTTGATTTGCATGGCTCTGTTTCTCATATATGAAGATAAGGCCTGGTTATTGCCATATACTGGCATTCAACTTTGGTAGTTTCTTTTTTTTTAAAGCACAGCGAGCCTATGCTGTTTTTATTTTTCACTGCGAGTGTCTTGTATTCTAAAAATAGTTGCATTGTTTAATGATTCCCTACTTAGTAAACATTTAAGTGAGTCTTTGGTAGGAAGAAACTTAATGTCCCATATAAAGGGAAAAAGAAGGAAATTAAAAGAGAAGGTATTATCTTTAACAAAAGCTGCAGGCAACAGTTACCATTTTGAAAGGTCTTTAGCTTTTCTTTAGCTTTTTCCTCAAAAAAACCCCCTGTCATTAATTTTCTGTCCTTCACTGAAGAAAATAGTAAAATATCACCCCTCATTATGTCATAAAGTCCTCTCCAGGTAAGTAAAATTGATGATTTCTCTGTGTGCTTTGGAGCTACCAATCTGGAGCTGTATTTTGGGTCTTCAGCCACTATCCCCATTTCTTCTGGAAGTATCACAAGTTACTGAATTAGGCTTTCTTATGTGCTTCTTCTAGCAATATACAAACTTGGAAAAAACCCATAAAGTTAATGAGCACTATGCCTACAGTATTTATTTACATCGAAGGGTAATGGATTCAAACTCGAGCACAGCAAGTTTCACCTCAACATGAGGAAAAACTTCTTTACTGTGAGGTTTACAGAGCACTGGAACAGGCGCCCCAGAGAAGTTGTGGAGTCTCTTTCTCGGGAGACTTTCAAGACCTGTCTGGATGCCTTTCTGAGCGATGTGCCCTAGTTTTTTTGGTCCTGCTCTGTCAGGGGGGTTGGACTCGATCTTTGGAGGTCCCTTCCAACCCCTAACATTGTGTGATTCTGTAGAATAACCTCCTTGAACAGCTGACTTTTATTAGCCATTCAGCTGATGCACCAAAGTCCCACAATAAGATATCTCTGGCATTAGACCTACAGTAGCAGGAAATTCAGCAGAAACAGCAGTCACAGCTGTTTTTCATTAACTAGGAGACCTGTAAGACTAGGAACCTACTTTACACGTCTTAGGGAAAACATGTTTCCTTTCCCTTACTCTACAGGCACATCAGTTCTCAAAGTAGGACCAAATGTCTAAGTGAAGTGTTTAGTGTTATTTTGGGCTGTGAGATGGGATACACAGTCTGGTCTGGATAGACCAAAGGTGCTTATCTATTAAGTCCTGAGTGATACCTGCCAGTGCTTTGCAGTTGTCTTAAATAGCCTAGCATTTCAAACAGCAGGAGGTGCCTGTGTTTAAGCAGAGAAATCTTACCCCACCTTTTTCTATAGTCAGGGAAGTGGCATTCATGCAGAACTGGATGCAGATATTTTTCATCCTTTGTGGCTGGGGAGTAAAAGCAGTAGGAGAGTGTCTCCCATCTTTACAAGCTGTCCTTTGCTCAAGTGTTTGCATGTAGATCTTTGCATTGAGTAGCAGTGAGACAAAATGTGTAAATGTGTTAGAAATAGAAGACAGCACTGTTAGCAGGAGCTTGTCCTCCCCACGCAGTTCTCTGCAAATGTATTTATACTGTTACTCCATTTTCAGTTGTTTCTGGATTTTCAATAGTGGCACATACGGTTTTATTCTGTTTAAGAATAACGTTTCTTGCATATTTTTTAAGCCTCTGTGTAATTTAAAAAAACAAAACAGAATTGAATTAGTGCAGAATATCATGTTCAGCTAAGCAGTAAGCGATGAAAATACTGCTTAGCTAATGTGCTCTACAGTTATTGAGCAGATTTCCTGTTTAATTCCTTTAGCTAAGTCACTTTCCTGTTCTTTTCCAACGTCATCCAAGATAAATTTTGTTCTTTTCCAGTGTTATTCAAGATAAATTTTGTGGTATCATCAATATTTCAGTGGAAGGGCTGCATGATATTATGACTGAAGATCCTGAAACAGGAACGTACAAAGAGTAAGTGGAAAATGTAATTAATTTATGTGAGTTTAACAGTAGTCGTATTGTTTTATAGGTAGTGTTTTGATTGGAAAATCTGTAGGCAGTTAAGACATGCTCGTAAGTGTTCTGTTTTCACAAGAGTAAATGATTTAGTAAAATAGGAAATTTTTAAGAGCAAATAATTGTAATGGGAAAAGGGAGGGCTTAGAATGGCAGTCAGTATAACTTAGTGAACAATAAAAAGTTTTCTACTAGATGATGTTGTAAAAAGTCATATGCTTAGATTTGCTTTTTGCTAATTTGAGTACTGTGTCTAAAATTGCATTGT